ATTTTAAAAACAACTTGCCGCAGTAGTGCCCATACTTTTTTTCTACATGACTGTGAGTCAAAGATTACGGAACGTAAAAATCTGTGAAAATTTAAGGAAAAAAATACATTTTGATTGTTTTTTGTGTAATTACTGTGTAAACATTTTGGTGTTTTAACAGTTGTAGCGAATATTAGTACTACTTAGGTATCCGATACCAAAAAAAGATTGAACATAATTGGGAAGTTGTGGTCGTGGTAGTTGAAAATATCATAAAAGGTGTAAATTTTCGAAAATTTTCGAATTTTATTTTATAATAAAAAAGATTAATAAGATATAATTTTTTTCTTATTTTTCTATAAGTACACATGAGCAGGTCTACCTCTTGGCGCCCGCTTATCGTTAAATTTTGGGACACGTTGTATATTGTCATCATAAATAACGCAATAATACTTAGTATATATTGCAACGACTGTTTATCTTACAAAATAATAAGAAAGGAACCCAAAATCTTTGTCAGTATTGTGTAGTAATCTATTTTAAAACGAATAATTCAATAAAACAAAAATGGACCAAATGTCAGTTATTATTTATTGACTTTTCATCGGCGATATGTCACACAAAGTAATAGCATGTTCTGTGCATATTTTTTTTACATGTAAAAGATGTCTTTTTTGTCTTGCTAGTTTTACGCCTTGGACAGATTGCACAGATTCCATCAAGCTTCACAGCCTCTTAGTCCGGGAGGTAGCTTTGCAATTTTTTTAGGAATTTTATACCGAATGAATTTTGCTTCAAACAGTTGTTTAATGGTCAGAAATCAAGTAAAGTAAGCGTCAGTTGTCGCACTAGAGGTGGAGCTAAAGGAGACAGCATGAAAAAGTCATTGGAAAAAAATCTGCTTCGATGATTTTTATACCGAGCAAAATTGTATTAATTTATTGTTTTAGTTACATTAAAAAAAAAAATCGTCAGCTGTCAAGGGGGGATTATATGTGAACCCCATTCAAAATTCAACAAAGAAATTTATTTTATACCTTATGAAATTTATATATCTTAATTTTTATACTTTTAAAATAATTAAGCTGTATTTTTGAAGGGGGTAAAATCGTCAGTCAGAGCGATAAACATTCTGCGCGCTCATTTCATTTCAGCGTTGCATAGTCTCTTTGGAAAGTAAACTGACGATCTTTACACCCACAACCAATCAGCTGACGATGAATTATTGTTTTTTTAACATTCAAATTATATTATACTTTGAATTCAATAAGTATAATATCAATTTAATATAAATAACACCACATTATATATATTAATTTTGTGTCGGTTTCAAATTATATACAGAAATATTTATTTATAAGAAACAAAATACTAATTATTAAAAAAAAAATTTTTTTGTTTATGAACATGAGACAAAACAATTTAGATTTCTATTGATACATACAGGGAGGAACAAAATGACCGACACAGCCGAAAGTTTCAAGTTAGGTTACATGCAAACGTTCATTTTATTAGACAAATATTTAAAAATAGAGGAGGTGTAAAAATGGAGTAAAAATTTTAAATTTCCAAATGTTGACAACCCTTTAACGCGCATGCGCCATATCGATTGTGCGCAGATTACAACGGACTGCGAAATACATTAATTTAATTTAATTATTTACCGATATCTTAATGATAGTCGATGCTGAAAATGTTCAATTCTTCTCTGAAGACAGCTAAGCATGCTCTTTTGCATGCCAGTGTATGCAAAAGATATGCACGCGCAAAACACATCACTTTTCACACAAAACTAAACACAATCTTCACTAAACAAAACTTAACACTCAAGACGAACACTCTAGTATCTTATTAACAAAAATTCAATTAAAATGCACTAGAACAAAACAAAAATCGACAAAAAAAGACGCTTCGCAGCGGTGCGTCGGCGGCGATGCGCAATAACACTCCAGCGCAAAAGGTCGGCGGCGACTGAGGGGCCAGAAAATACCGACAGAATAATGAAGCCGCCTGGCGGCTGGCTGGTGGGTGGGGCTTTGATATCGAGGGACGAACTCGGTTCACATTTTTTTATTCGTCTTTGATTTCACGCATTTTTTTATGTTCTTTTTAAATGCTATTTTAATAACTAATTACTCAATGTTTTAAAACAAAGTTCATTTGTGTTAATGATGAATCGCTGGAAGATTTGTGAGTTTATCGAGTTAAATTAACGATCCCGTTGTTAAAGGAGTATTACCCAATTCAAAAATTTTTTTTGGAGAACTGCTCTTTTAAAATAACGTAGGTTAATGTTAGACTGCTCTCTACAATAATTTAGGAAATTTTACACTCGGTTTCTTAATTGTGAATTTAAAGTTAAACGTCTCAAACTAACATCACTTAGTTTTCGTTTCCGATTTTAGTTTTTTGATGATCAGTTGATAGCAGTTTGATAAAACTAGGACTATCTGACTTGTGAAATTAAAAAAAAAAACTTAGGTTATTGAGAATAAGCAGTAGAAATTTTCTACTTTCAAATCAGAAACCGGCTGTTAGTCTGTAAATCGATTTAAGCATTTTGACTGCCTTGTTTATTGATTGTCTGGTAGAATTTGCATGAATCTTAGAAATGAAGAAGTCAATGACAGATTAAAACTTTTCCTTAGTACGTCCCAAAAACAGCTGACTCAGGGTTGAAAACACTAATTTTTTTAGAAAAACTTTGTATTTTAATATCTCCGAAACTATTTGACCTAGACTTATATTTTTTTTTTACATCATATTAAACACAAATAGTACTCTCTAGGAACCTCGGGAGTGTCGGTCGTTCTGTTCCACCGAGTATATTATTATTCTACTTCTTCATATAAATCTTCTGCTGTGTCTGTGTTATATCCATCACTTACCTCACAACTATCATCGGAGCTGTCGATGATGAGATTCCGTTCTTCTTCTAATTCTTCTGCATCATTTTCGATATTGTCTGATGTTTCAACGACATCACTTTCGACGTTTTCTGTAAAGAAAGTGTAAATTTTATATGTTTATCCACATGACTTTTATTTAACTCCAATGTATTATAAAATCCATAGATAAATACCTGCAGGATTCTCATCGATGATTGTAATTCCAGTTACTGATGGTGGAACTTGGTCTCCGTCGAACCACTTGAAAGAGTATTTATTATTTTCTTCCTTCCATCCGTAGTCTAGGGGTGATAATATTGATGGAACTGATCGATGAGCATGACTTCAAAAATGCGCTATATAAGATGTACGTAGTATATGCTGGTATAATTCTTATTGGCATGGAGGGAATATTGCACCGTCAATTGTACTTTTCAGCTTAAATTGGTATTTTTGGTTATTCATTTTATACGTTTTGAAAAATGTTGCTACTCGTGCTGTGTTCACATTATCGATTGCTTTGAGATCGTACATTCGGCATACAAATTCTTCGATCTTTTTTTGAATTTGATGTATATTAGAGGTGTCTAGATTGGCTATGCCTGTAAATGTTTTTATGAATGATTCTGATTGTTTTAGAATTTCAAATGGTTTTTATTTCCCTCTTCTATAAAAATCTGGATTAAAGTCGCATCCTGTGAATGCATGAAATCCTGGCAAAGGTGAGCACAAGTTAGGTCCTAATATTTTGTAAAGTTGAGTGACATCGATGTAATGTTGTATATTTCCAGTACCGAATAGCAAATGAATTTTAAGGTTGCTCTGAATATGATATTCCCCAATAGAATCATTAAAATATCCGTATCAGAACATCTTATTGCTACGTTATCATCGGTATTTAGTTGACAAACGTGGAATACTATCTTTGTATCCGCTTCTTCATGAGCTGTACAATTCAAATCCTGCTCTACACTTTTTTCTATTTTTTCATGATGTTTTTCATATTTATAGCATACGTCGTGATTAATGTATATCGTTTTCTCTCCTATAAATGGCGCCATATAATTATTTTCCCAATCTTTGCAAATAAATTCAATTAATGCCTCTTTAAAATGAATATTTTTCAATTTATTCGAGAAACTAGCCGATCGTAATTGATCAGAACTGTGAATATGATAATTCTGACCCTCTATTCTGCCTCTCGAGGTGTGCTCGTGGTCTTTTATTGATGAAGTAAAGTAACGATCAAATACGATAATAACTTTGCGTGCATTCGATGATGTAACCATTGTGATTAATTTTTTGGAAATATTTCCAAATGATAATGGAACTTCTGTCATTGAATGTAAAAGGAAGAATCCGTCATAAATCATGACATCACACCACGCTGGAGGACTACTGACTACATGTTTTTCCACGATTTTTAATAATGCTGATTTGTCCGTTTTACAAATTGCTCCATCTAAATGACACATTGCTAGTGGAACTGGTGTTAATGGATAAGTTAGTACTGCGTCAATATTTATAGTTTTTTCTAATAAAAGTATTAATAGCTGTGCGAATAAATCACGTTGCATTTGTACTTCCACTAATTTACCTGAAATAGCTATTTTTTTTGGGCACAGCATTTGCAAAAGTTAACACTTTCGTTCTTCTTTCAAATCTATGAGGATCTGTAGTACATTCGGTGATAAATTTTTCACGAAGTTCATTCCCTCTTCTATATTGAGTAAAAATTCTGCTATTTCCTCTCCAATTGCTTGACCCGTTGAAATATTAAATAATATAAATAAGAATTTTTTATCATAATTATCGGAAAAAGGATTGTTTTGTTTTAAATGCGAAATTAAATTTTCTAATTGAATGGTATGTTTTTTTATTTGATTATTTTCCAGATCTGCTGTAACATCTTGGCTTTTTGTAACCCTGTTTGTTCCATTACGTGACTTATAACAGCTGTGCGGATACTATGGCTCTTACACCAACGCTGACAATTAATGATTCCTGTCAATTTGTTTGCAGCATCAGCGTTTATGGTCTGTTCCAAGGTAAGATCCACTGGCTATCTTGAGAATGGTTTGTCAGTTCTTTTGATACCATATGATCCCTTTTCAAATCTTAACTGTAGCCCTGGATGAGATGTAGCTACTTTCATTAATTTATCGTGATATAAAACGGTATATCGTGATAATATATACCGTTTATATCACGATAAATATATATTGTTAATTTTTGGAAATATAAATTTAAATAATTCAAAATCAGGCTTTCTAATGCTTTTACATAATAAAAAGTAATAATTAATTAAATTAATATATATCATATAAGAGTGGGCAGTTTTTCCATGTTTGCCTTCTAGTGTTCGTTGTTGATATCTTTCATATTTTTCCAATATTTCTATTAATTTGTTATTATTAATTTCTGGATCAGTAGATTTTTCTGATTTAAACTGAATCAAATATTGTCTAATTTCATCAGTAACTTCCATGTTTTTTGTGTTTAAAAACTTTTCAAAATGTATCGATTGGAGAGCTAATGAGAGTAGGGGATGTAGTCTCTTACAACGATTAAAGTGTTGACCTGTTATAAAAGTATTGACAGAAGCACTAGCTAGCACTTGTGCATTTATCATCACATTAGTTATACCACAATTATCGATAAATTTTCCAATAGCTTTAAAATAAGCCATCATTATGTGAAATGAACCAAAATGAATGAATAAATTATCGAAACGTGATTTTTCGCTGCTTTGTATTTGAAAAGCAATTTTTGCGATGGCTAGGTCATATGTGTTTTCCATATAAGTTTCATTGCTTTCGGTAGCCACTTGTCGACCCTGTCTCATTGTTTCTAAGACGACCGATGTATTTGTTGGTGAGGAATTGATCGTTGTTAAGTATGCAATTTTCTGTTTGTCACGTGTATCATGTTGAATAATACTTTGAAATCCTACCCAAGATGATGTATGAGGTACCTTTAAGAAATGATATATTACCCAAGCAAGATCGATACGTTTGAACGATTGCATTTTTGAAGAATCACATAATCGCAGTGGACTATCAATAGGTTCTTATATTTCCTGTATTTTCGGTTTTTTGTTGTATGCTTCTATAATTAATTCTATAATAATTCAAATGTGAAAGTATAACGTTCTTCGTCTTCTTTTCGATCCTGCGGGTTGAGGTTTATTTGATCCATTATTCTCTTCAAAAACGCTGCTTTCCGTATGACTACTTTCTGCTTCACTTTCAGATTCATCATTTAAATTAGACACATTCTGAAAAATTATTCCAACAGTGTCGTGCAAAGTATCTTTTCCACTTGTTGTATCAACAAATCGATCGAAGTTGTCATACGCTAGTCCAGTGCATAGCTTATTAGAACGTAAGATTCCTTCCGGACAGATATCATTGCGATTCGTGGAACGTGTGAACTGTAGCAATGTCCAAATTTGTTTAAATTATTAATTATTTTTTTACTGTTCGTCAGTCCTTTCAAAGCCATGCCAAGAGATATGTGTTTAGATGGTTTTATTTTACCATGTGAAGTCGCGTAAATTAAATCTTCAGCAAAAGATGTAGAAATTTTATATTATGTTTACTTCGGAAACTTGAACTAATAACTTTTGAAAAGAAATCACGTAAAATTGGTGGTACATCGCATTCTCTTTTTATTACATCATTCGTTGTAGGTTCATTCGGTAGTGGATTATGTTGGATGTTTTGGATTTCCGAACGTAGAATTTGGGCAGCTCTATCTAATATATCTTGTTGTTTGAGCATGTCTAAATCATTTTTTAATAAATTTCCGCGATATGGTTTAACAATTTTTTTATGATCAACAGTGATGATATTAATTTCTTTTAGGAAATTTCTCTAGTAGTCTGTTCTCTAAATTATATGGTTGGAACCATATAATTTAGAGAACAGACTACTAGAGAAGTTCCTTGATTCTGTTGTGTGGTTTTTCGCGTATTCCACAAACAATGATTTCAGAAATGATAAATAAACACATCGGTTTTTGTTAATCACATGAGTAGATACATAAGAACATACTGCATCAATAGCTTTTCTATGGAGGGATCGTGTTACAGTACTCCAAATTTAATAATGCGCATACAGATCTTCGCCACTGTTCGGCTACGGTCGTATTTCCCGAGCGTCGGGAGACGATATCTATATAGAGTGGAAAATGCATTTATTTCTTGCATAATTTAGTAGAATTATGGAATTTATGGGAAAAGAGATAAATATTGATTTATCCGTAACGATATGTGATTCGATAATTCCATGTATGTAAATAGCGAGGAAAGCCACGTAATTACGGATATTATGTTACAAACTTAGTCGGATTGATTTGCTTTGAAAATTTTATATTACTTTTCAAGTGTCTTACTGAAGCTGCTTTAACGATGGAAGAAAAGAAGGTTTAGATGAAAAGAAGAATTTATATAACAAGAAAAAAAAAATTTAAACACAAGTTTACATTAAAAATTTTATTCAGAATCGGGGAGATTCTATATTCCTGACATCGTAGAGTCATCGGAACTTTCATTATGGTCTTCATTGTCACTTTCCCCACTATCACCTGTGTAAATAATCATTTCATCAGAAAAACTATCCATTTTTGTGTCATATTTCCTATACTCATCTTCGCATTTGATGGCATGATTCCGAACTTTTTTCCATTCTTCCTGTCCTATATTGTTGATTTTTTCTAATATAGCATCTTTAACTGACGTGACATTCATTGCAATGTTTTTTTTGGCAAGTGTTGTTTTATTTGGGCCCAAATGTTTTCTATAGGGTTAAAATCAGGATGATATGGTGGCAATCGTACAATTTTATGTCCATGTTCCTCCATTATACGGTCAATGGCAAATTCTGTGAACTTTTCTTTGTGTCTTTGTATAATTTCATACAATTCGGGTTTCAGTTGATTTGGATCATGCGGAATATTGTGTTGTTGTAACCACGCTATCATTTGTGGTTTCGGTGTATTTGAGTTTGGTGGTTTCACAAACAGCTTATTATGATACGGGGCGTTATCAATTACCAACACACTATTAGGAGGCAAATTGGAAATCAATTGATTGCGTAGCCAAGTTTGATAACCTTCCGCGTTTATTGCTTTATGATAGTCACCTTCTGAGTCGACACATTTATGTAACATTAGAGCCCCTGGTACGAAACCTTTTTCATTGCCTGCATGTACAATTATAATTCGCTCTCCTTTGGAAATAGGTTGTTTAATACCTTTTTTGCTGCTATCTTGCCAAGTTTTACCTTTAGTATGCGATGTATGCACATATGACTCATCCATAAACACTATGTTTCTACCAGCATCCCTCAGCTGTTGTATTTCTCTTATATATTTGATCCTTTTTAAACGTATATCTGGCTTTTCCATAAGTAACCGTCTGTTGGTATCCGTTTTCAAAAACCTAAACCCCATGTCTTTCAAGATGAGCCTTAAAGTCTCTGCACAGCCATTGAAATTAATAGCTTCGATTAACTTTCTTCTCAAATTATTTACAGTTGGGAGTTCTTTGAGCGTCAACTGAAAATTATATATCATATTTCTAATAACACAATAGTCGAAATCATCAAGTCGCAGCCGAAACCTACTTTTAGGTTTTCCTTTTTTAGGTGTAGAAAATTTCATTGATTGATTTCGTTTTTTTTCGTTCAAGATATTAGTCAAAGTTCGCCGTGAAACTCCTGTAGCTTTTGTAACACGGTCCTGAATTTTATTAAAATAACCATCATGGTCTCTTTTGAAGACATTGGCTTCATTTAAGAAATAAAGGTACACATTAAATACCATTTGCCGTGCTTGTGACTTAAGCGGCTGTCCACGTTTAAATTTATCCATTCTTGAAGAATTCGATCTGAAAGAAGATGAAATGGGCGGAGTTAGGTATATTTTTATTTAATTGTTGCGTTATGCATGTATATATGTAAATAAATAACTGACATCATCCATAGACACTCACGGGTTATGTTTATGCAGCCAACATAATTAAAAACACGTTACATCACGTTAGTTATAATTTTTAAGTAGGTTATTTGTAAATATAATGATTGTTAGTTTTTTCTTCTTTTTCTTAGCAGTTTTGTATACAACTAGCGACCCGCCCCAGCTTCGCACGGTGCATGTTATATACATATCTACCTCCCTCTTAAATCACTCTATCTATTAAAAAAACCGCATCAAAATCCGTTGTGTAGTTTTAAAGATTTAAGCATACATAGGGACAGACAGCGACTTTGTTTTATACTATGTAGTGATGTGGTAACTTTAATTGGTTATATGTACATTAGTAATTGTAGTTATAGTAACATGTAATATAATAACTGTTGTTATCCTTAATATAATAAAATAAAAATAAACTTACCAAGAAGCTCTATATAATTCCACATGGAGACAACACGTGCAGTCAGCGCCAATAGTTAAACACGACTGACTAATCTGTGCGACTCACCGGCGACCGCGAATTGTATTCGATTGAGTACACATGATATTGACTCCTATTTCTTTCGAACAAGGTGCATAATGCAAGTGCATTGTTTAGGGTTCTTACGATTCAATGATTCGGGCATTTTCGGGAATACGGCTACTGGCGAAGATCTGTATGCGCATTATTAAGTTTGGATAACTTTTACAGGTGACAATGATTTTGCTGGCGTTACTCCTTCACTTGAGGTAGATGGCGTGATGTTGATATGTCAACAGCGGCCATAACTTGATTGCGTATTTCACAAGCAATACGTTGAACACTTCTCCGAGAAACACCAGTCGCCTCTGACGTGAGAGCGTACACATCTTTCATACGACCTCCTAAATCACTGTTATCGTGATGTAAGAAATAGTTGAAAACGTTGTACACTATTTCACGAGATTGTCCTGTTAAAGTTTTACCGGAACCAATTCTTTCAAAAGACATTTTATTGTAACCTCAAAATATTATGTAAATAATAACACGCGTGTACGAATAGCGTATGAATGCAAAAAAAGAAGCACGCTGTTTTCACCTCAATTTATTGACTGTAGCATAAGTCAAACAATAACTGTCTCCTTCATACTCATAAGCTTGACTGCGCGCGAGAGAGACGGATAGATTTTTCATTATACGCATACAGTGTGACGTTACGCCGCGCACTTATTCAGAGATACTACACAAGCGTAAAGTATAAATGTGTTGTTCGTGCCAGCTTTAGATAACCGACCTGTAATGCTGTGAATAGTTTATAACACTTTGAATGATATTTTTGTTTATCATTTATATCCACTGGCACTTTAGCGTCGTTCATCGATAAATTATTTTTTTTTCGTAAATCTAGAATAGTTTTACACTTTTCTAAAAAAACTTGGAGTGAACGCATGAAGCGGTTCATTCTTCTTAAAACAAAAAACACAAATTAGTTTTGTTTTCGCAGACATTTTGGAGACTATACCTTTCGACAGGATAGCACAACATAAACTGAATAAACTAGCCGAAAACTCTGCAGCAGAGGGTAGTATTTCTCATTTATTCATATAAGTTTGTCTCATTTCATTAGGGTATACTTACTATAGTCGATTCTACCTGAAAGCCAGAATAATAATTTTTAGGAAAAGTATGTTAGAGTAGTGAGACTTTAGCTGCTTAGAATTCCTTGATGCCCCAGTACATACTAATATAATTTGAAACCAACAAAATTAATAGATATAATGTGGTGTTATTTATATTAAATTGATATTATACTTATTGAATTCAAAGTATAATATAATTTGAATGTTAAAAAAACAAAAATTCATCGTCAGCTGATTGGTTGTGGTTTTAGGTACTGTCTTCGAGAGATAATTCTGTTTGTATTTTCTTAATAAATTAATTGACCAGAGTAGTGCGGTGAGCCAGTAAATCGTCTGTCAGTGGAGTTGAAGTGAAATAATTATCGGATGTTATATTTCTGCCAGTGTTTAGTATGTCACAAGACAGACATTTCACGAGGCCAAAGGCGGTATTATCGTAATGGTATGGTCTAACTGGCTGTTTTCCAGGGAAAATTTCTAAATTACTAGTATAAAAAGTTTGTGCGTCACATAATGCATACCCTTTTGCCATACTTAACCATACTTTGCTGGTTTATTGGTATTGAAAATTCAGAATGTATATTAATACATTCTGAATTTGCATCGGCCTCTGAAGGACAGTAACATTTGATCAATGGTCACATTTTCGCCAACCTGATGATTTGCACGACATTTTTCAACGAAAAAATCAAATAATTCACAAATAGGTGCCAAGTTGTCTATCTGAGACCTATTCAAACGAGAGCGTATGTCGTCAAATCTTATAGTTCTTATCAGAAACATAAATCGATTGATATTCATCACAGCTCGAAAAAAATCAGGAGATTCATTTTTTTTATACCAGCCATATATGAAATACCAATAAATGCCTTTATTTCTATAATATCAGTCTCTATCCCTAGAAATTTTTTTCTGAATAGTTTGTATATGAATATTTGTATATCTTACAATACCAATGAACATTTCTGCTCTCGCGAAGACAAAAAAAAAAGTCTAAAATCTCTTTTTTGGCAACTGGTTTTACTCCTGGTCTAAACAATATTATGTGATCTAGTCTTCATATTAGTACGATACGGCTTGTAGAACCATTAAGTTTGTTGATCTTTCGCCATATAATAAAGTCTATTTCCAGGTTGAATAGGGTAGCTTTCACCTTCATCATCTTTCGGTGATGACTGCTCAGTATAAGTGTTATGATCGCTGTGCTCACTCTCTCCATCACTTTCAATAGCATAAGCTCTAAAAACCTCTTCTTCGATGTCTTCGGAATCATCTTCTTGTAGCCACGCCCAAATTTGTTTTTCTTGATTATCCATCTGTAAAAATATGATTATATTTATATGTACACTGCATTATGAACTCATTGTTCACCAGTATTAAACAATCAAATTAAAATAAAGACTTTAAGTTAGGTATAATACTGTAAGAAAAAAAAACCAAGTGAAAAATAATACTTAGGTTGTAGCTCACGCGATGAGCAAAATGCCGCGCGACGTGACACAGCTAAACAAACCACCAAAAACCGTTATGGGCGGGACGGGGGAAGTATAAAACTCAGTTATGGCGCAAACGACGATCATCTCAATTAAATCAATAAATGGCGGGAATTTGAAATTCAACGTGAGAGAAATGCTCATAGCGCGTGTGCTCGCCGGTTAAGCATTAACTCCAGCTACAAAGGTAATTCCATCTACGTTACTAGGATGGGTTTACTAATAAATGAAAAAGGATTACTTATTCCAAAATTTTGTTTATAAAATGAAAAATATGAAAGTATTACTTATACATTTATAATTATGCATAACAGTTTTATTAAAGCAATTACATTCAAGTTTTCATACTTAGCAAGTATTTAATAGTACATTACGAGTATGATATAAGTGCGATAAGTTGAAAATTACAGCTGAGGCGATATTGCTAGCCCGAGCCGTAGGCGGGGGCTATAAGTAAGCAGAGGCTGTAAAGTTCAAAGCGCCCGTAAGTATGACGACCTTTTATAACATATTGGGGAGGAAATAAATAAAACTCTGACTTTCTTAAACGAATAAATCTTTAATTACTTGTTAAAGCATTTATAGAAATTTGAACAATTTTTAAAAGTGATTGTTACTTTGCCAGTTGGCTTTTTAATGTTGTCAAGTTATTATTAGTTACAATTTCCCCAGTCTCTCTCTCACTCTCTTGAGTGAAAGTAGGAGAAACGAGACCACTGAGTTCTGCAGTCGCTGGCGGCGTTTTCGTGTCAATAAGTCCGCACCTGAATCGGCGAGCAATGTAGCCGAGAACCTTCTGAAACTGCCCTGTGTATTCAAGTGCTTGAGGCAAATTTAAGAAAGTGGTAATTTTATTCGGCATTGCTCCAAATTTATTAATTCCAATGGGTTGGTTAGTGCATTTTCCATTTTGGTAATTTTTAAGAAATTTGTTGCTTTTGTTGAACGACGCTTAAAGCAACAAATTTCTTCACTACGTCGTAAAAAGGCCCCTGTATTGCGAACGACCTTGGAATTTTATTTTTTGTGTTTTTGACCTGGACAAGAAGAATTTGCACATGGTTCTCGACATCATTAGTTGTGATATTGGCCAAATCTGACGTCTACATGCACCATTTATACCGAATATTAATGCAACCTGAAAAGATATAAACATAACGTATAAACACCAATATTGTAAAAAAATACGAAAGTGAAAGAAATTATTAACAACAATTTAGTTTCAACTGACCTTTATTGCCAAATATCGGCAATCAGGAGCTTCCTTTAGGAACTTAGTGATATTAGAGGTATGTCATCTTCAGAATCATCATGAGCAGTTGAAGTAGTTTTTTTCTTGGTTTATCTTAAACTGTAATCTTTTTCGCATAGCTGGAATTTCCTTCCGTATTACATTATTTGAAGGTAAATTAAAGGTTTCAACGTTCAATACTTCAGTTTTGTCTTCTTCATACTTAAATGGATTATGTAAATATAATAAAATTGCGGTCAAGTTTGTTCGCCGCTTCCTTAATGAGGTAACAAGATTTTTGACTTATTAATATTTACCAATTTAGGCACAACGAATCTCAACGTTGTTTCAGCTGGGATCAAATTTGAATCACGCCTTTCATAAAAATTCAACCGCAAATTTCAGTGGCTTAATATTTAATCTAGATCCTGAAGTACTTCAAATTCCTCATCCGTGAAAATGTAATCTGGGTTTGCACTGAGCCCTAAATCGACCAGAGCTTTTGAAACAGATAATCTTAAATTATTAAAAGTTGCAATTATATTGGACAGGCTGGACCATCTTGTCCTGTAATCAAGTAACAAAGCTATGTTCTTTCCCAAATCTTTTAAAATATATGTTTGGAGTAGGTCGTTTTTGTTGGATAATTGTTAAATAATTTAACCACTTTTCCAATTTCTTTTTATTGCCACCGCATACTCTGGAGCCAGGCTAACTTGATTTGTTGGAGAAATTGATATTTCAAAGTTGCCAGCTGCATCATCTTCTAGTTCTTCATCAGGTAAATTCTTCTCTGAATTTTCACTTCCTACTTCATCTACTGACTCACTTTCAATAGCTGATTTTTCATTTAATATTTCTGCATAATTTTGTTTATAAATCATATCAACTACAGCTAGTTGGATGCCATGGGCATAACTTAACTGTTGGTAGGAATTGATGAGACTACCTACTTTAACCATGACTCGGGTATCATCTGTTGTAACGCAGCATACATCCGAATCGAGATCTAAGTCAAATTCAGACAGCTTCTTTTTTAAAATGTCGATATAAGTTTCGAAGGCAAACTGCCAAAAATGCGCATCAACCCCAAATTCTAGATTTTTTTTTAGAAAGTGCATGTGTTTTATTTAGCTCCTATTCCTAGGAGACGACCATACGTCAAAGGTCAAAGTAAATGTAAGGTCGATTTCTTTCAACCTTAAAAAATCTTGAATCACAGTATACTTTAAGGTCGTACTGTAATTCATAACCATCCGTTTCACGGAATTCGCAGAGGTTGGCAAGTTGTAACCGCTAGCTTTAAAAAGTTCTCGTAAATCCGATGAAGTACAAAAGACTCGAAATGGTAAACCATCCTTAGATACCATGCGTGATACCTTCTTTTCTACGTTATTTCTTCTTTTGGAAAATGATCACTTATTTTACGTTTCTTCACTAAATTTGACAAAGCAGGCAACACTGGCAATGGCACTGGGGAATTTGACGTCGATGGTGAAGATGAAGAGAATTGCTGGTGGCTTTCCAAGAGATTCGCTTTTTAAGCCTGTCTTCTTTATGACTGTTGTTTAGGTTAGATGTAGGGATGCCGTAATTTTCGAAGCTGCATATTTACTAAGTTCATTTGTTTTTAAATCTCTATCGCGATCTTTAAGTTTTCTTTAGAGTACGAGGCACGCGATGTTTTTCTGTTATATTTATTAGGCATAATGATCTGAAACAAAATTATAGCAAATAAGATGATGATAACATTATGATTATGATTAGTTTAGATTGCTGATTTTGATAAAACTGCAGCCATAAAACTGATACTACTGATTTTGATATACGTTTTGCTATTGCTTTATGACTTATCTAGATAAATTCCTTCATAATATTGAATTATGTGGTTACGCAAGATAAAAGCTTGCCAATTTAATTAGTCTTTTTATCGATGTAAAAATTAAAAAGAAAGAAATAAAAATTAAATTATAACCATCGACCCAAAAAACAAAACAAACAAACAAAACCCATAAAGTATATAATACTTTCAGCCATAATTATGAAGAAGAAATTGTTCTTTTTTGTCCCCTTTTTTCCCCTTTTTCGTGAAAAGACTACTTAACGGATTTTGATGAAATTTGGTACGTAGATAGGTGATATCGTGGAATAACACATAGGCTACATTTTATCCCGGATATCACCACCACGTAGGCGTAGACGTACCACGTAGACGGAGTCGCGAGCTACAGCTAGTAAACATAAAAATTGATCATGAACTGAAGTTTGGAAAACACTGACGTTTTTGTGTAAGGAAAAGACCGGATAATTTGAATCCGATGTTTGAACGCTGTGGGGAATACCGTATTTCAGCGTCTGTACGCTTTTAAAATCCTTTGTAATTGGAAACAATAACATCACAAAAAACAACATAACACTGACAATGAATTGTGCGTTTGCGCGTTCAATTTGCCGAAAGAACCGGATGGTACGTCTCCGATCGGCCCTTGTGGTACAGCAATTTGTGGAAGATTAAGTTGTACACTCACCCCTGTTTGAGTTATCATATTTCCAACGTGTGATACGTAGTCCGTTAATACCTTTGGTATGCATTGATAGTCTGGTAGTGCTTCTCTAACGTCAGCTCGCTGATTTAGATTATTCTGTTCATTTTGTCGTGCAACTTTTGCGTGTTTTTCATATAAGACTAGTGCTACAGATTCGGCTGATATATATATTAATGGACAAACCTCCAGCCAGGCTATGCTTAGATCTATTACCGTTAAACAATCTTTGTAATCATTTGGTAGTATTCCTATTGAAACTATATGTATTTTCTATTTTTCCTCTCGCTAATTCTTTCATTTCGCCTAATAGTTGGACAACATTGTCAATGTATCTATGTATCAATGACTTGTTGTACGGCATCCCGACATAAATTATAAATGACCATGTAATATTTATTGGTATCTGACGCTTTCTGTAGTGTTAATATGGCATCCACTTGTACGACCCATAAATGTGTGTTCTATGGCCAAAAGTCTGGAATTCGATTTGCCACTGACAAGGTATAAAGATCATGTCCAATCTGAGGCTCAGACTCTTTTATTTCTTGTATATCTTGCCGCACTGGAACTGCATACTGCACAACGACTGAAGAATATCAGTTTTTAAAATCTGTACACTTTATAATACTCTCAAAGAACAGACATTAAATATTCCTGAACCAAGACCATTACCTTGCCTTTAGTCATCTGTTTCGCGTTTTTGTAATGGTAGCTGATGATATTTGCGCTTAATAATATGATAATGAAACCATATACGTGGTTCATCCGAGAGAATATTTAATTACTGCCTAAGCTGAGTGCAGGCTCTGAAAATGCGTTCGGTATCTTATCAGCTGTGTTCAGAGTTTTCCTTAAATGTGTTTGTTAAAAAAAAATCAGATAAAAATACAAGTGAGTTTATTCTTATATTATCTTATGAACAAAATAATCTTAGTTCTGTGAGTACGTAGCTGTTTTATATTTTTTTTTGTGTTTTCATTTGTAAATTGGTGTTGCTGTTTGCAATCAAAAGTTTTCCTTGAATAAATAAATTATTCAATCGCTTTCATAGTTTTATATCGCTATTTTTCATAAATTCCTGTCGGATTTGTGTAACTTTAAGATGGTCTTAAAGGTGCGCTGAAAATTGTCAGTCAAGAGTGTGGTTAATTTCTCGGTTATATTTTTTCCGGGATTAATAGTTAGTTTTTTGCGACCTCATTTTCTAGTTTGTCTCGTACAATTATGTAAACTTAGGTTATCCATTCTAGCATTTTAGATTGAGCGCAAATTGGAGTCACTGATTTTAATTCTAATTTAATTAGGCACACGTGGCTCAATAGATGTTTTAGGCAGGACCTGTTGTAACACTAAGAGGAGGTCAATTTCGCATATATCGGGTTGGCACAAAAGTAATGAGACACTTGGTTTAAGTTTTTACTTTTTTATTATTATTACAATAAAAAAAGTTTAGTCAATGATGTTGATCACGGTTTCGAAAATAGCTAACTTTTGTATTATGATGTAGCAAATTCCATTCTTTTAGACGTGATGTTAATAGTTCTGACTGCTTTTTTGACAAATTTAAATCCCGAACCAAATCATTTAGGCTCGTTTACAATTCCTTTTAACTCAAAGTCATCGTCCTCGTCAACACATTCACCTGAAGTGGACGGTTGTGAATTGTTCTCAACAGACGTAGTTGCAACTGGTATTAGTTCTGGCAATTTTTTACAATGAGAGACTGGTCTTATAGCCGAAGATAAGTTAGGGTAAATAACTGTGGTTTTTTTCTTGTAATTTATACCTTTTATGTCTGTGAGACAAAAATAGCAATCTGAAACGTGATCTCGCTGTTCAGTCCATATCATGGGTACAGCAAACGGCATAGGTCGTGCACCTTTCTTCCAGTCAGTTAAATTTTTCACACACGTTATGCAACAGACATGAGGGGCTGGGCCTTGATGGGCGACAGAAAAACCAAAACATTGTTGATAACACTCCAACACAAGATTCGTAAAATTTCGTCGTTGTTTTTTGAATGTTAGTTCTCCGGAGACATAACAAAAAGAGTTAGGATCATTATTACACTTTCTCGACATATTCACAGGGTTAATAAATCACAAAAAAGTGTTCAAATTCAACAACAAATATTTTTATAAGGATTTACTTGTAAGCGTTTCTGTTAATTTACTGCCGTAGTACTAGTTATGAGTATTACCGTATCACAACAAATATGAGGCTAATAGACATATGACAGCTGTGATTTAATAATGAGGGTAGACTGATAAATCAAAATTAGCTATCAAAGTTCGTGTGGCAAAACCAGTGTTGACCAGTGAATTATTTATAAAATGAACAGTCGCATCCGTTATCTTGATGAGTGATTTACAGTGAATTAAAAAGGTAACACCTTTTTAATTCACTGTAAATCACTTTATCCGTAAATATAATAGTCACAAATACTTTTGAATATTATTTAGAAAACATTATTCACCGCCGCCGATACGTAAATTCAGATTTTATCACTAATTATATTTTTAATCAAACAACAACTATGGAGCTGATGTTTACTATACAGCGCCACCTCTCGCTCTTACTCTGCTCGCAAAGTGGAAACAACAACTATGGAGCTGATGTTTACTATACAGCGCCACCTCTCGCTCTCACTCTGCTCGCAAAGTGGATTCGGTCGACGAAATTAAGATGTATTCGGGTGCAGATTCTCATGAATTTCATCTGTATCAGATCTGCCAGCTACATTCGAAACTCCAGCATGTCTATTACTTTACTTTTGGGTACTCCAATTGTGATCGAATCTAATACGTACGATCTTTATGCATTCTAAATCGATGGATCAAAAAAATTGAGGATGAATTTTAAAGTCCATTTATTCGTTTTTATGAAGGTTCGGTAATATTCAAAGGATGATCAAGAATATCTACACCTCCCATATTCTTGTTGTATTTTACAACAACAATATCATTGCTAACGAATTGCTGGGAATCTCCATGTTTCATTTTGCGATCTTGTTTGAAGTCAAAGTTTTTTCTCTCAGGAATTCGGTTTATCATAATTGTGCCGGTTCCATGGAATCCCATTACATTTAATATCTCGAGTAAAGCTATCGATGACAAATATCTGTGGAAATATACAACAACTACCGCGCGGAATATATTTAGAGATATGAAGAATTACTGAAGCTCTAACGCCTAAAGATCTGTTGCAAAATTTGTTTTAGCACCCTGGTTCACTTAAAATTCGAAGTCAATCATTAAACTATTGTGAGTAGTAGCTACGAAAGCTTTTAGCACTTGTGGACGTGGTTTTGTTTTTATAACTTGTTGCGTAATAATAAACTACGTGGACATATCCCGCTGAATGGAATCATCTATTCATCTATTGAATAAAATCCTTGTTGTCGCAAGCATCCTTGACTTGATTAAGTACAGGTTGCACTTTCCAGAGTGAATTCTGGATTCCTGGAGAACCTTCATCACTGTAAACAACATGAAAAGCCATACGCAGAACTAAAAAGCGGTCTCTAGAAATTTTATCAGCAATTAAAGCTAATCTCATTTCTGTTCGCCAGTACATGTGAAGGCGTGGATATGGAATACATCCCACGATGAAACGAACCCCAACAAACTTTTTCAATTATTGGTTTAAACTGCAGCATGCTCAAAAAACTTACCGTCAAAATAGTCTTCAAAGTAGGATAATAGGAGACCTTACCACTGCTGATTGTTGTTGGGAATCACTTAAATTTCAAGTATTACCCGAATATTTAAGCTGACCTTGACATACCGAATTGCCTGGGTACAAACGCTAAAAAATAATTATAATCTCAAAATATTCGAACTGATACTTAGTATCACACTTTGTCTGAGCTAACCTCGAACCTTACTACACTATATGATTCTGACACTAAAGGTTTAGGGTTTGTCCCCCATGTAACCTCCAACCTCCCCTTTAGCCACCACATGCCTCACATAGGAACACTGCCCACAAGCTGTTTCACCTCTGTGTTTCATATTCTCTCTACTCATAATACTACCACACTGACATATTCTAAACACACTGTTGGGACTGCTACACCAGCAGATTCTAGACCCATTGCTGGGACTGCCATGCCGGCAGATTCTATACTCACTACTGGGACTGCCACAACGGCAGATTCTATACATTGAGACCCTGCTCGCAAGCAGTATCCCACAATACACGTTTCAAATACACATTGATAATAATTGAAAAAATAAAAGCCGTGGGTTTCGATATTTTTTCTATAATGACATCATCACAAATCAAAATACAATAGAAAATATTTAAAGTATAAAAAGTATACAAATACCATATAAAAAGGTTCTATTATCGTCGTCGTCGGTAACACACATCAAACAACATTATGCACAGTATGCATCTATAACGTGCATTTCAATAACGGTAAGAACACCCAGTG